TTGAGCAGAGTTCCAAATGGCCGAGCTGCACAGGTCTCTGGGCAACGATCCCTTCGAGGATTCCCGAGCTTTTCGTCCTGTGGCAGCTCCCTCTTCAACATAAGTAGCGCAACGACTAGCTGACCAGCCCGTCTTAGTATTCTCACCGGCTGGTATTCCCGCGGCATAGAGGGGGTTAAGCTTCCGGGTGTATTGCGGATGATGGACCTAGACTTGAGCCCTGTCAGGATCTGACGAGTGGGGATGCTGCCGAGGGCATTTCCATCCCGTTTCCTTCCTCGAATCCTGCGTGGCAGCAGCCGCCGCAGTTCTGTGTCAGATTTATGCGTGGGAGATGCAGGGGGAGGGCGAAAACCAATGTTCGGGTTTGTGCAGCGGACAGTGGCAAGCAGCCGAAATCTTCATTGTGCCGGTCAAGATGCTCAGGTATGCTTACGGGAGTGGCAACTGCCAAGAATCGCACAGCCAGAGCTTCCGCACCTCGACCGGCCTATGTCATACTCGTGCGGACTTGAATATACTTTGCTGGAGCCAAATTGGTATTACCTTGCTGAACTCAGGCTACACGAACGGTCACGACCACGACGGGTTTTCAGGCTCCGCAGGCCATGTTCAGGGACTTGGCGAATGCGTGAAACAGTTAGAGCACAGGGGGGCTGCAGCATTCTGCCAGCTCTAGCCTTCGCCGTCTTCTGCAATCGTCGGGCATGCAATACGTGTTCAACATGCCATTTTTCAGGAGGCGGCTGGTCGGCACCGGAAGCGGGGTCCACGAACTGGCAGGCACTTGAAGACTGATTTCTGCCCTGCTCCAAGCTGTGCGGGAGCGCTAGCCGCTAGACGCAATCTGAAAGTTCTGCTTGGCAGGGCCCGAACTGGCCTGCGGGCAGCTCGTGGGAACAAGGGTCGTGGTCTGGTTGGAGTCTCTTGGCAGCAACCGGACATTTGAAGGGAAGCTGGGCCGCCTGAAGTTGCTGCCTTGTCGTGAAAGGAGCCGACAATCTCGCGATGTCGGATAGTGACTTGGCGAAACAAAAGCCGGGTTAGCTCCCCAAGTTTCGGCCCACGGTAAGGTGGCAGTGGCTCATACTGTGGAGCTGCTTACAGCGGATGCGATGGATACGAGAGCCCTTATAGCATCTTGGCTTCTGTAACTGAGTGCACCAGGGGGTACGTCTGCATGCATTGTGAGATTGAGCTGTGACCTGCCACTTCGTCGCCGTCTTACCCCTGGTTTGAGGCGGAAATGGGCTGTCATACCCGGGTCCGCTACCCCCTCAGTTTTGATTGGGGTTGTCGCGCAGTGAACTAGAGGATTGCCGGCATCGGCAGCAACATGTCACCATGCAGCGGTAGACTGCGAGTGTAAAGACGGAAGGATGGGTTTACCGGATTCGAGGTCGAGCTTTGGCCAGGCCTCGGCCTCGTTGCGCCGCGGCTGGCACGTCTGAGCTCGCAACTTTCCCAATTCGATTTCTGTAGCGCCGAAGGAAGGTTCTGGTTTTTGCCACCGCGAAGAACACCAAAACACACCCCATGAATTTCCGCAGCCTGCCACAGAAAATGGAGCGCAGATGTCACTTCGTTTGGCTACTCGCGGTCCAGCCTTCTCCATCGGCCCCTCGCACTCGGAAAGGGCGCATAGCCGAAGCGAGGTAGCGCGATCATGACTGTCACAAGGCTGAGTAAGTAAACGCAGATAAATAAAGAAACAGTATAAGTATCTGCATACTCACATAAGAAATGCTTCATATGTTTGTTTTCTTCCGCTCGTGATGAATCCTTAGGTCCTTGATTTGTCAGATTTAGCAAGCAAGCACACTTCTTTATGAGTGGAAATTGGCGCAGAAGTTCTCTGAATGGCGTGGCCAGACATGGCCAGCCATGGCCCAGTGGGGGCCCAGCGGACCTCAGAAGGCCAAAGTCGGCTAAAGAATCTATGACGGATGTGTAGCCACGGAGCCTTCAGGTTCGACTTGAAGCCCCCCTGGGCTTGCAAAGGAGGCCTGTTTTGGTGCACTGTGCCGTATAGACGTAGCCGCTTTTTGAGGCCCCAGTGTCCTGCCGAACGAAGCCTCAGTGCAAGGATGTGCTGGGCGTTGTAGGGCCTCTTTATGCTGGCACGTTCGTCGATGGCTCCAGCCGACTTCACGCACCGTGGGCACAAAGTTGTGCCTGCTTCAGACGCGGCTGGCGAAGATCACGCAGTTGCTGGAGTAAAGTGGTTCAAGGAGCGAGTATCTTCATCGCCGGCTGCGCAATTCTGGTACATTAATTGCTTGAGGGCCCTCCCCTTCTCACAATTGTGGGCATCTTTGCAGTCCAGGCTTCAGTGACGCGGCAGCGGGTCGTCGGTATTGCGGCATCAGCATCCGAGTAAGTCACATGCCTGCGTTTGTGAGAAGGTCCTGGAATTGCATCTCGGCCGGTCCGGTAGCACATTGTTTCAGGTGGCATGAACTGGTTACAATCTCTGAAAGAATTGTTGGTACACTTGGCAAGGGCCTAGCAGGCCTAGCAGTGGCTTCAGAATGTTACCGCGCGGATGTGTGCTGAGGGTGCTTCATATTTGCTTAGCTTGGAAGCTCGGTCGCAGTCAAAGACAACTGCGTGCAGGTGACTTCTTGGAAGGCAGACTCACTTGAGTTGAATATGATATAGATTTCGATGGTAACTCTTCGGAACGCAAGCTGTTCCCAAAAGTGATTTGATTTCCAGCTTGGCACCTGCCTTCTATAGGACCACCCGTAGATGCTCCCTGAGAAGATGCAAGTGCACGTGCAGAATAGCGGAGGCCACAACCACGACAAAGTCTTTGGCTTTTGATGTCTAGCCAAAGCGACGGTCCACAAGCATCAGGTTAGTCGCCTGGTCAGAACATGCGATTTCATGGCGAAGAACTCTAACATGCTAGCTGCTTATTTACAGGCGTTGCTGCCTCTGCTGGCATTGCGTGTCTGGTGCCACACATATCTGTCCAGAAGAGGGCTAGCCTTGACGCCAGCGATATGTTTGAGTTCCAGCGTGCAAAGAGGAACTGCGTCTCTGAGCCTCGAGCTTGACCTCTTCCACAGGCTGACCCAATGTTTCACAGGTCCAAGGGTCCAAATGCAAACTGTAGCAGCGTGGAAAATCCTCCAACAGCCATGCCAACATCACAACAGACAGCCGGGAAGTATAAGGAACGGGGTTAGGGTCTCCGGGTGCCCGCCTGAACGTCGTGTAGGGAGATGCTGATAGATGCTGGCATCTGAGAGGGCCAATGCTTGATATTCATAAGCGCCACACTTTTCGCCACTCAGTGCTTCGTTTCCAGTTCACAGCCTCGATAAGCACAGGGCAAGGTCAAAATTCATGACATCAAGATGACCGGAGGAGTTCTGGCATCTTGCATGGTAGCTAGATGCACAGTCTGGATGGCCCGCAACTTCGGACGCTGCGCGACGTTGACTCTGAATCCCTAGAGCCCGACAGTTCTGCAAAAGTTCTGCGCCCTGCGACGAGGGCCAATGGAGCGTGGCTGGAAAAGTGCTGAGAACACTTCCCAGGCTTTCAACATATTTCGTTTTCATGGCGAATCGGCATTCAGAATGTGGCGAGCATGCATACCAGGACTTCATGCAGCATGAGCTGGCAATTCGGCCTTGTTCTTCGGGACAGGCTTCGAGACTGGCCTGGATGCTGATACTTCCTTCGTCTCTAGGTGACGGTCCGCGGCATATTATGCCGGTTCTACCACCACTCAATCTGGCGTCAACTGTCGGCTGACAGCAACTCACTGCCAGTCTTGGTTTCAACTGCCAGTATCTTACAGAATCAGCCTTGTATCACACCTTATTTGCTGCCATGCTCTTTTGCCTGTTCCTGGGGTCGTTTTGAGGGTTTAGGGGTTGAGGGCGCCTGGTTTTGTCAAGCTCTTTTGGTCGCTGCGCCGCCATGCCTTCCCTTCGCTGTGTCCTCGTTTGCATCCTCACCGCACAGGCGGCCTCGCTTTTCCATTTCTTCAAGCGGGTTTTGGCTGTGTTTTTCAACGCAGTGGGATGGAACGGCTGAGCACAAGTAGTTGAACAGTAATTAGGTTGTTGCCGGACTGTTATTGAGACACTGTCGCTAGTTTTCAGGGATCGGTTCAAAACCCTGGTGGTTGGAATCTCGGCAGAAAGCTTTGGAGATACGTTTGCTAGCATGTGGACACAGCGGGATTTCTGACTGAAAGTCTGGCCTGGCGAATCAGGTCCAACCCCGCCCACTTTTGAGATATATTCCCTATCGCGTCCGTGCTTTTCGGAACGCGCCTTTTGACAGATGTAGTCGCAAGGGGGAGGAAGGCTTGTTACGGGAACTTTGGTTTGCTTTGGGTTTGCAGCAGAGTGCGCATCTGAAAATGATGATTCTGATTCGAGCGTTATAGCAGAGCTAGATCAGCTCGTTCCTGACAACCTGTCGTCGCCGGCAGCTGCTTGTTGCAGTCGAGTGCCTTGTCAGGTGGCGGTCGCCCGCAATTGCTCCGAGCGGTCGGGTGGCGCCTTCGTTACAATCCGGGTAGGGGCACCATGGCTGCACGGAGGCAGATGACTGGATAGCTCCAGGGACGACGACGGGCTGACAGTGCTAGTAAGGAAAAGTCGTGCTGCATTGAGGTTGTTGATGTCTGTGGTGTGGATGCCAGTCCGGCTACAAGTAGTGCTCATCCGAACCGGACCAGCTTGCACCCTTGCCAGCCTCTGCAAACAAATCGGGTGACTTCCTGCATTCTTGCGAGTGTCATCGGGTGAGCAAACGGTGCCGCAGGGATGTCAGTCGGATGGAAGTAGCGATCTGTAAACTTCTCTCTACATCCAACATAGAGGGCACGATAAGTTCATTTCATGGCCCTCACCGAGTTAGGACCCGCTGTGTGGCGCCGGCAACCTGGGGATTTCAAAAGCACCAAACGGCCTCTGCAAAATGGGAAGAAAGTAATTTCAGTCACACGGTGTGACTCATGAGGTTGAGACCGCATGTTCAACTTTCGGTCCTGTTGGCCCAAGGAGAACGAGTCTGTTTCTCCTTGGGTGGAGGACCAAACTTTGCCTGCAGCAGTTCAAGCTCAGAACTTGCTCACAGGTGTAGCCCCCCGAGTGTTCTGCAGCTGCAAGCCAGCACTGCTAGGACGAGGACTTCATAGAGGCAGCCATTGCCCATGCAGTTCGCCCACCAGGCGCCACCACAGCAGATGCTCAGTTGTGCTAACACCAGCGGCTACATTGGTGCGGGGTTTTTGGTTTGAGCAAATGTTCGCAATAGGCCTGGATGCACATTCATTTCTGTCATAAAAACCGTATATCCTGGCACTTTGGGGTTGTAGCCTGCTCAGTTAAGAACTGACGTGAACAAGGCATTTGCAGGGACACAGTTGCCCTAAGTCTACGGTCAGGTCTTGGATGGGAACGAGGTCACGTTGCCATCGAATCTTTCGGGGGTGTTGCGCCGCCATCAGTTGATACAGCGGTCGCGGACGCCGTGTGCCCTGTGCGATCCTTCACGGCGTGCGATCCTTCCCGGCTGCGGGTTGCATCCTGTTGTCTCGTCTTGGATTCATGGTACCAATGGTACCGTACCAGATCTCCGAAACTAGGGCCGCATTTCCCGATGTCGCGGGCTCGACGCCCCGAAGCCGCAAAGAGCGCGGAGGTTCGAGTCGGGGAGACTGCTCAGCGGAACAGGCTAGGTTTGGATCGAAGGCACCTAAGCATCTATTTCTCCGCACCAATTCTGGCAGTGCTTGTCGCCAGGCGCGCTGACTGCTGACAAGTCATCCAAAGCGGTGGGAAGGATCCCTGTGTTCCATCAGAGCCTTGCCTGGAACCTGTGCCATCGAAGCCTTGGGAGTGGTGGAAGTGCCGGGACGTGCAGCAATGCAGCAGGATGCACAGATGGCGGGGAATCTACCTCAAACCAGCACGACACCGCTCAACCTACATGATGAGTTGAGTGAGAGTCCATTGGATCGTAGTGGAGCTTGCCTGGCCCTGTGCAGCTGTCCAAGCTTTAACCTTTCTCTTTGCTTGGCAGGAGCATTCAGCAGCTTGGTAGCTACCCTCGTAGGGTCAGTGTATGCACCGCATGGCATCGACTTCTTGCACATGCATACCATGTACTTGGAGGAGACTTTCTTAGGAGTGGTCTTGGCCCACATAAAGTTGGTTGCTGCAGGCATGTGCTAGATTCTAGATACCTCAATCTGAAAAAAACTGAGCCCGTACGTCCAGGATTCTATCTGGCAGCGACTGCGACGGGTGGTCCTGGCACGTGGACCCGAAGAATGTTGGTTGGGCAGAACTGGCAGTCGAGGTAAACTGACTGGTGCAAGAGACTGTACCGAGAAGACTAATGTGTTTTGGCATGTTTGGGCACGTTGCAATGAAAGCTCGGATGGAATGCAATGAAAGCTCGGATGGAAGAGACAGGAGGGGAAGAAGGTGGTTGTTGCGCAGGTTTGTGACGCCTCTCCGCGCTACATCGAGGAGCACTCAGAGGCGTCTGCGACATTGGCTAAGCTGCTCATTTTCAGAGGTCGTCCAACGGCGACACCATGCAGCAAGATCTCAATTAACAGTTTTCGGGATATGTAGGGCCTGCACCCACGATCCATGCTCTTGCTGTAGGCATGGCGTACATCACCTGGCCGCTGGTGCCCATGGAAAGTCCAGGTGGCACAAGAACCGAATCCGAGGATGCAAAGTGCTACGCATTTCGTCATGCATTGCTGCATTGTTAGTTTTGGACCGCAAATGTCTGAGGCAAATGCGCTTAAAGCAGTCTTTGAAAGGTCCATATTGCGGACCAGAGCCGGCAAGCATTCGTGCTGTTTGCAGGTGCTCAAAGTTGAGGATCGGAGAGGCAAGCGCCCAGAGTTCATCAGCAAGCCTGCGTTGCGAGGTGGGCTGAAGCGATGAATTGCTTTTAAGCGTACTCTCCGAATACTAGTTGCATGCTCTTCAGGCACTGACACTAAGCGCACGTGCTCTAATTCAAGACCTTTACCTTTGTATCCCGAAGCTTGGAAGGCTTGAAGAAGCGAGCCGGGAGCTTCATATGTACAGTGTTTACGAGCTTTAGCACTTTAGCATGTTTAAGCCTATGCGAGCCTTGACCAGCAGCCGGACAGACGGCACTTATATACTGCCAGCAGAGAGATCCATCGCGAAGAAACATTCGGAGTCTGTGGAGATCTCTGGAGTTGGCCTTGCGTGCTGACGCGGTGCTGTGCCACAGACAGCACTACAGCAACTCTCCATTCCGTTTCAGCTGACGGGACCCCTGCGCAGGGAGCCCGGGCGGCAGTGCAGCTGCCGAAGAGGCGAAGAGCCTTCCTAAAATTGTGAGCTCAGGCTTTGTTGTTCTTGGGCTGGCGATGGCTGTAGCCCCTGGAGTCGAAGCGCTTTCCTTTCGCCCGTACTCCCGTTTGAGCGACCCCCCCCCCCCAGTGGCAGAGCTTCTGACATGAGAAAGCCAATGACTGCTAATGACATGTCACTGATGACAGAGAAAGCTTCTATCCGCTTGAGAGATGTGGAATGGCATCTTATTCCAGTGGACGCGTTTGCGCAGGCCGCACTCCATGCAGTCTCACTCCAGATCGCTAGGACGTTCTCGGGGTTGGCTTGGTCCAATAGCAGAGAAACGTCACGGGACTGGCGCTACCTTCATGTCATCGCGCCGATGCCTGCTATTGCGCAGGAGAGTCCGGCACCGTGTCTAACTTTGGCTCCACGCTTGGGTCGACCTTCGGGAAGCCTGATGCCGCTCAGCTCGAGCCTAGCCAGGGATCTGCAGCTAAGCACTGCCTGCGTCGCCGAACTGCAGTCGATTGAAAGCTTCAATCAGCTTCACGCACACTCTTGCACAAAGGTCACGTCATCTCCGCGAGGACCGACCCATTGAGGGCTGCATGCAGTATCTTGAGGTGGAGTAAAGTACTCAGTAATATATTCAGCCAGCGAGTGAGAGCGAGATTGCAACTCGTGTTCTTTCGCTTCCCCGAATGAGTCCCACACTTTGCATGTGTTGAGCTGTACTGAGCTATGACGACAGGCGGAATCCCGAGGATAGTCCTTACCTCGCGCTGTGCTAATCCTGTGTTTGTTATCCATATCTGGTTAGAATCTAGTCGGTCTCTGAGCAGCTTGCACCTTGTCACCTGTCACCGCGCAGCCTTTTCGTCCCCGCCCGAACAAGTGTAGGGAGCGCTGCCATGTCCTTTTAATACTGTCCCGCGTCGCCTCGAACCTTTGTTTGATAGGGGCCGTGTGCCTGTGCTTGCATCGTTTGCTGTAGTGAGGTTGCAGGGGACTTGCCCCAACAGAGATTGATCTCCCACCCGAGCTTGACCAAGTGTTAAAAACCGTATCTCTGCAGGTGCAAGTGAACCACTGTAGCTTTAACCTTGGACATGACGTGACGGATGGGGCTTTCTTCTTCTGGACCAAAGCTATGATGACCGTGTAATCAAGCGAACGATACTTTAATAAGATTTAATCACGTTCTCCGCGCTTCAATGATAATTGAGCTGCTTGCCTATTGCCGAGCCACCATTCATGCTGTGATTGCCGCATTTCTGCATGCCCTCTCTGCCTTCTCCCCTTCCTTCGTCGCGATTGCTGACCTATTTTACCTCGGCGTCATCGTCATGCTGCACCAGCACACCGTCATTTGTATCTTCCCTACACATCCGTGGACTTCACCCGATCACGGACAATCATGGCAGTTCTAACGCTGACGGAAACGAGCCGCATCGAATGCCACAATGACCGGACGACGGAAGCCCCGACAAAGCTCCAGAGACAGCGAAGTTCTCACCATCGACGACCGGGTAGCCGTTGAGTGCAGGGCTCCACAACCGAAAGGCGGAGCTGCAGATCGCCAGCCGTGTCGGCACCCCATGTCCGCCGGCTCGACTCTCCCCACCCCACCCCAACCCAACCCAACCTCCCCCTACGACAAAATCAGCAACCTAGCTAAGCAGCACATTGCGTTCGTCATGTGCACCCAGTGTTTTTGTGGTAGTTTCCGACAAGTGCCACTCAGGACCTCTGGAGCCACCCGGGCGTATTTGTGCGGGTCTTTTGAACATGGCGCTCATGCGATGCAACTGAGTTGAGAATAGCGAGGGTTGCATTGGCGAGTTCGACTGTCCTCTGCCGCCAGGCGCCAGATTTCAAAACAGGCTCACCGTTGCAATGCAATTGCGATGGCGGAGGGTTGGAACCAGTCCCTGAGATGGCAAACGGCAGTCGAGTGCTCGCGAGTCTGCTGGCTGCTTCTTCTTGACAGCAACGGCCGTCGGAGGATCCGAAATCGATGGCGCAGGGAGGGTTGAGTGGAACTGCTGAGCTCCCAGCCAGATGTCGTTCTTGTAGGGCGGAGCTTGCAGGCTTTGCTTGTTTGCCGGGGCGTGGGAGTGCGAGTCGTGGTTGAAAACCGCAAAGGCTCAGCTGTCCCAGTCTGGGACGAGCACAGCAACCGGTCACAGCCTCGAGGAGCACCGTTCAGACCTCTCATGCCTTGGCGCAGGCGCAATCCAGTCTGGGAACAAACACTGCCATAGCCCTCGCTCCGCAAATGCTTCACAGATGCGTTGCCAATCCAAGGTGCAAACTTTGTGCCATGGACGAAGGCACTTGGGTCAGTCATTGCGAGCCCGGGCAAGCTGGCAAGCTCGGGACTCACTTTCTGTGCTCCAACGTCTTGTGGTTTCGTTTTTTCATGTCGTTATGGGAAAGGGTTGCTATTTGTGGCCAGGTCCGAAGACGAAAGCCTCTAAGCTTGCAGGCAAGGTCTGAATTTTGAACAAATTCTCTTAGTGTGTTGAGTGTTGATAACTCTTCCCACATTTCCCACCTTACCGGCTTTCGCAGTCAGGCCGCCCAGGAATGCAGGCCGCCCTCCTCGGTGCTGTTTTCGGGCATTCCCTGCAGTGCGGCCTCGTCGTCCTCGGGCCTCAATATTCTTTGAAAGCCAGGATAAGCTTCCTGCGAACTTGGCCCTGCGCCGCTTCCCGAGCCATGTGCAAATGAGTTTGAGTTGGTATTTCCATGGATTGATTTGGGTTTGTCGGGACCAAGGTGCACAGAACATCGAGGCAATGTACCTTGCTCGTTGTCGGCTGTCGGGCAGTCTTGAAATTGCACACTCGACGAGTAGGGGCTTTGATGCCAAACTGTCCCCTTGCCAATTCCATCCAGGCGAAGTGCTCGCCAGATGTACGGCGGGCGTTTCGGTCGAAGCCGGTGTGGTGCCCGGAACTGCACAGTTCGTGCGGGCTGTGTGAGGATGGCGGCGCTCATTGTTAAGGCCTGGATGCACACATATGCTGCATATGCTTGGTAAGACTGGTAAGACAGCTTTGTAGGTTGTATGGCCTGCATGAACAAGACTGGCTGCCAGTTTTGCAAGCTAACCCTTGGGCCTCGTTTTCCCGAATCTAGTCTAAGTGCTTGAGGCAAGAAGGGTGTTTCTTGCATGAGTGAAGCGTGTCGTCAGTTTAACTGTCAACAGATTTGGCCAGGGAAGGGCGGGCAGTGTTGGAAACAAAGTCGGTGCAAAACGATAGTAACGATTTTTGTGCAGATGCCAATTGACATTGACAAGCCTTCGCCTACATGCCTTGAAAGATTTGGCTTGCTGCTGTCACCCAGGTGGAGAAGTGTAGCTGTGCAACGATTACGGCAGGGCCCCCAAGCGCACATGAGTCGCCAGGAGTTGAACGCACATGTCACATGTCTTCCGCGTTCTGCAGATGGTTATCAGTGTCCTTCGGCATGCTTGCCAGCTGGCACCAGGCCGTGTGGTCTGCCTGCGACACCTTCTGGGAGATAGACACAACACACTCTGGCGCGATTACCCGACAGGTGGGCTGCATGCTTAAGTGAATTTTTTGTGGTACTTCTGCTCTTCAAAAGTTAACATGCGCGTGATGGAATTCCCCAGCACTCGCACTTGAAACATGGCAGGTGTACATGGACTTCTTGAAGTACATATGTCCCACAGCCGCGAATCCAGCAAAAAGAGGCATGCTTAGGGCTCGGTGGCCTTATGCTTGCTGAGGTCAACACGCTCCGCATGCTCCGCAGAGCAAGGCCTTTCTTTGCTGCGCATGATCCGTTTCGGAAAGCACAAGAACACTGTGTAGTTGCAGAGCGCATGTCACGTTCGTATAGGCTGCATTGCCAGCTGCTCGCTGCACCAAAGAAAGGTGAAGCTTATCGACATCTACTTCCGAGTATAAGGAGGTTCAACGTCTCCATCTTTTCGATCGTCTGTCCGTCCATATGTTTGTGTGCTGACCTGTTCTTTGATTTCTCTGCCTTGTCCCTTGCTGTGGAAGCCTGAATCGCATGCGGGTAGTGCTTCTTGAGTGCCTGTGTCTAGCTACCACTTCTACCTCCACCGGCTCCACAGCTTTATATCTGGGTGTCGCTCCGGTTCTTCGACGGTGTGACAATGTGCAAATCTAGCCATCCGTTTATCTGTTTGCCCCTACCTCTATGACTACCGCTCTGTTTGGTCTCTGCCCGAAAAATGTGCAGCAGAATGCTGCTGCCTACACGATAAGCAACCAACAATGTGCTAGCTATTCTCCAGAACTTCTACAGTATAGAGAGTATAGTATAGACTTTGCCCTACTACGACATGTACATGAACTACATGTGTGACGCGTAAATAGACACATTTACCGGTAAATGCATGCACACATATCACACGCTGCGCATTTACACATACTGCTGTGTACTGACAAGCAGTAACCTCGCCTGATACGCCGAGAGCGAGTGACAAAAAATACGCACTGCTGTCATGTGCACTTGCTACCTAGATGTTCTCGCCCACGTGCACAGATACATACTAGTACATACACACGCAACCGAAGGTGGGCGTTGACTCGCACGCATGCACATGGACAGAGAGAGAGAGAGAGAGAGAGAGCTGTCGGCAGCGTGGGGAACCTTACCTGCTAGTACAGCCGAGCCTTCAAAGGCGAAACCTTTGAGGGGTAAGACCACCCGTGGCAGGCGGGTGTGCGTGCGCTCACGGGGTGATCGGCCTGGATGCTGCCGTGATCCCCAAGCCCGGAAGAGAGAGAGAGAGAGAGAGATAGCCATTTTGGCTCAAGTGTCCGCACCTTGCCTTGGGGGGGCTGTAAACCCTCCTTGGTACGGGGGGGGGGCACGCGGTTGGCCTGTGGCTGTTCACTACAGGAGAGCCGTGCTGCCTTTCCCTGCGGCGCTTGAGTCCCACGCCGCAGCTCATTTTGCTTAAGAGGCCCTAAGGGTTTTGCGCATCACGGGACCCCTTGACCACGGCCCTCCTCCGGGAGGTGGGCCGTCAGTAGGGGGGGATCGCCATACTACATCCTCGCGGAACCCACGGCAAACTTCCTGGGGGGATGCAGTGTCGCATCTGCCGCGAAGCAGGGGGAATATGCCAGCCGGGCATGAGGAAGGTGCACGTGAGGAGCGATCCGGCATGTCGGCTACATGGAGTTGCAAGCTTAGCCAGTGGACCTGTAGCCAGCCCAAAAGCAAAACCGAAAGCACAAGGCCAGGAGGAGGGGGAGGCCAACTCCAGACGTGCCACCAGTCTCGAACGCATGGTGCAGCACGAAACACGTGGGGGAATGCACCTCCTATTCCACCCAAGCCCGCTCGATGCATGGATCGGGCGCAGCATACAGTGCGACGAGGACACCGGGGAGCTCTACGACGAGAAGGGGAAGATGCTGGGGGAGAGCGACCGGGAGGCCTATGCTAGCTACAGGGGGAGACTCTCCCAACGTCAAGCTTTGGGAGCAGCCGCCGACAAGTTGGTGAAAATCACGGATGAGTACATGCCCCGGATCACCAATGAGACGCACGCCTTCATAATGCGCTTTCCGCACCGCATCCCCAAGCTCCTCAAAGAAGCCCGCAAAGTGAAGAAGAGGAAGCAAGCGCGGAGGGGGACGGGAACAACACACCGCCGAGCCACGAGAGGGGACCCACAACGGGAGCCCGACGAGATGACCGTGCCAACCACAGCCAGACCGACCGAGGCAGCCAGCAGCTCGAGGGGGGAAGCAACGACCAGTGCGAAAAAGGAAGACAGTACCCCAGATACGCCACCAGACTGGGGAAGCGAAACCAGCCAAGCAGAGGAAGACGGGGGGGCACCGGACGACCATGGTGCAGCCCCGGGGGGACACAACGAGATGGACTACCACAGCTACCAGGACGAGGACCCACAATGGCCGTGGGGAGCACACGGCAGACCTTCAGACCGAGAAGCTCACCAAACAAAGCCAGCGGAGCCGTCGGGGGAACCCAGCGGGAACATGGCCGACCGCAGGAGACCCGCAGAACCAGAAGGAGTGCCCAGGACAACGGAAGGGCAGAGGAAAAGACCGCACCAGCCTGCTGACCCACGTGCTGCCACACAGAGGGGGAGAGCGACCGTGAACCTGGTGCCGAGTATAGGCTGGCAAGTGAGGGAGGTACAAGAACACATGGCCCGACGCAGAGTTGGGGGAAACAACGCAGAGGAGTACATGGCCGACGCAGAGAGGGGAACACGACAGCGATGAGTACTGAACAGAAGTGAATGTGAGCGTGGCAAAAAATTTTCCGAGTCTCGCACACGTGGGAGGGGGGGATGTTGTTTGGTTCTTGCGTTTTGGTTGCCGCTTCCCAGCGTTGTGCTTTGGTTTCGGCCCTCCTCTTTCCCTACTGTGCCCTGCTGCGAGCCCCGCCCCACTTCGTGGGGAATCTTTTGCAAAACCAACCCTGCCGGGGAATGCACGTACTTTGTACCATACGTGTTACATACCACAATCTTTCAGCCACTTTTGCCGATATGGCCGATATGGCAGAGTCCTTCCGTCCTTTTGCAATTCGCTGCAACGCCGTCACTTTTGTGACGAAGTCTGATCCGCCTCTTTGCCACAATTCAATGCTCCCTCCCGCTTCGAGCTGGGGGGAGCTGCAATTCGACCGGCACTTTTCAGGCCCCCCCGAACCAGCTCACAACTAAGGATATAGCCATAGGGGCGCGGTGACGAGGCGGGGGTTGTGTCGTGTTTAGAGTTCGGGGGGTTTTCCTGTTTACACCTCGGGGCCTATTTTGTTTTTCCTTGCCTAATCTGGACTACCCCAAAGCCGTCCACTCACTAAAACAGTGTGAGGGACGGGCGGGCGCAACGCCTGAGGGTCGGTCGACCGACCCGTAAGCCCGGCAGAAAAAACAAAAAGAGAGAGATACAGGGGGTGGACGGGCGGGCTGAAAGCCTGAGGGTCACGACAGTGACCCCTAAGCCCGGCAGAAGAGAGAGATAGAAATGTGAGTGTGTGTGTGTGCATATACATATGATATACATATACATGTATCTACATATACATATACACATATATGTACCGTATGCATATACTTTTTTACATGTTTAAACTAACTGCTTCATGCATGCATACATACATGTCTCCTAATTATCGGTCTGGTGGGTAGGAATTAGGAGATCAGTTTCGCGATCGTTGGAACAGACTTGATCTATCTTCTCCGTGGCCATTTTGGCGATAGCCGATCGGGCCATACCGAAAAATTCGGCGTGGGAGGTGGAAGTGAATAGGCTCGCTCGATTGCAGCCATGTCGTTCCCTCCCGCTGGCTTCCATCAAGGTCGGCAGATGGCGGCTCCGATGGCCCCACAGTTCGGGTTGCCTCGCCGGCTTGGTCACCCTGAGAATCCGGGTAACTGGGGACACTACGTTCCAGGCGAGGCAGAGGCTCCCGAGAATCCCGCGGCTCCAGCTGCCGCATCCGGCGATTGGGGCTCTGGAGGCTGGGGTCGCGACGATCGTCGTGGACGTCGTGACCGTGGGGCTCCTGCTGCCCACAACCCCTTCGCTGTTCAGCGGCCTGAGTTCGTTCGCCAGCTCGTGGTCGAGGAAGAGGACGAGACCCAGAACTCGCTCCTCGTCATCGACAACCGCGATGACCGGGTGATCTCCCCGTTCCAGAACTGGCTGGCCGAGGAGATCATCTCGAATGCCGCCAGCTCGATCAATGTGCTGACGGAGCGGGACTCGGTCATGCCCCCGAACTCGGGCTACCACTGTTCGCTGTTCGCGAACTATACGCTCGATGGCATCAAGGCCGTTCTGCTCTTTTCGATGTCTTCGAAAACAGGGGGACCATGTGCTCAGTGGGACTCCTACGCGAGTCGGGCGCTATCGCACCCGGCTTTCCAGCCCTTCACTTGGCCGGTGATGTTCGATACCTCGGCCACCTATGTGGATGTGAAGGTCTTCAATGGAAACGAGGTCCTGTTCCATTGGGTCTTCAGGGGCTACCGCTCGGACTCGGATCTTTCTGTCCAGCAGCAGTTCTGCGACGAGGTGTTGATCCGGTCAGCCAACGAAGGATGGTTCCGACCCTCGATCGTCATCTCGGTCTTCGTTGGATGGAAGGTCTCCGTGACCTCGTTCGAGGTTGGAGCCCGAGTCTACACGATCGGCCCGAGAGGAGCAGTGATGGCGAGCGACCATGCCATGAGCACTTGTGAGCTCAGGGTGACAGAACGCTCGTCCCGAGAAGGCTATGGGAACGACGCCGATCGTGTTGAGTTTCGGTTCCGGGACGCCAATAACCGGATCGATCTCAAGTGCGGGAGGACTTCGGTGCCTGGCACGTGGCTCACAGTCAGCCACATCTCGGGCCCCGCTCTGATCAGCACGATCCAGGCCTGTCGGACCCAGCGTGCTCGCGTGGAAGGTCCAGACCACATCCAGCAGTTCGCGCAGCTGTCTGCGGTGATCGCCCCCTGGTACCACAGTGCGTTCGCCAACGAACAGGTGCAAGTGGGAACTGCGACAGACGAGTTCCCGATGGATCATGGGAACTTCCACGTACGGGCTAGATCTAAGCTCAGGGTCTGCCCACTGGTGTTCGTCCGGCAGGAGGCGCTCGCCCACCGGTCGCACGATGAGAACAACGCCGTTCGAGCTCGGAATGGCCCCCCAGCTCTCATGGAAGAGGCGGCTCGGCAGGCGGTTCAGCAGCTGGGCTCCTCGGTCACTTCGGCGATCACCAACATGCCCACCTCGGCTCAGCAGGTGTTCGACCAGAGGGTGAGCACTGTTCCGGTGCCGGAGGAGGGCCAGCTCGGCCAGGAGCAGATCGCCGAGGAGGTCGTCACCGATGCCCGCGATCGCATGAGGGCCGACATGCGATTCTCGCGCACGTCGGCTGCGATCACGCCTCAGGTTTTCACCGACGTGCTCCAGCACCGTGAGCAGGCGGAGTACGAGCGGATCAGCACGGTCAGGGTGGAGGAGACGGGCCAAGAGATCACGGCTTCCCCCTCCACTA